CATTTTTTGGAGTGTGACACAAATGGTGAACATGATACTGCCAAATTATCAAGAACCAGGATACGGCTGGATACGCTGAAACTTTGTAAATCGTTCTCTTTTCAATTGTAAACTTTATTCCAGTGTTACGCTAAATACATGTACTAAATACTAAACAAGCGCACATATCGTATTCATTTACAGCATCGGATTTTAAAACAATGACTCGTGGAATCACAAAGAAACTGTTAAGTACGTATTTCACACATTACCGAGGACCGCGGTAGAGACCGGTACAGCGGTAGAGACCCCTAATTATAAGCAGTCCGCGGCTCTCCTCGGCGTTCTGCGGTACGCCGCGGTAATGACCGCGGTGCACCGCCCGTTTGATTAATTCCTACTCTTCCCTAAGATTATGAATATATGGTCATGTGACCTCATTAATATACATTGTTGTCATATCTGAAACACTGTTGCAGAGCGGAACATGCAACCAGTGCCATAATGAAGGCATCAACCAAAAGATGTAACTAACATAAGAGAAGGTCATATATGATTATGTAATCCATAATATGCATGAACACATGGCTCATTATATATTAAAATGGAACCAACTGCATTTTGACCAATCCAGTGACCTCATTAATTATGAAACATATGCCTGATAGCTTGGGCCTTGCTGGCCCTGATTGTGGCTTTAATATTCTATTTTTTTTGGTTCTAGGTGTATTATAAAAGATAATATAGTCCAATACTTACATTTTGTAAGGTGAGGTGAGAAAATCCATTCTCTTTCAGAGCAGTTAAATCTCTGAGGCTCCCAAGGCGCACCTCTTCAGTGAGACCTGTTACTTCCATCTCTTGAGCGACGCCAGGAGATCCCATTTCTTCAGTGGGGCCAGAAGACCTTTCTTTTGTGTGGCCAGGAGATCCTGTCTCTTCTACTGATATTTTGGTTGTGTCACTTTTTCTCTTATTGCCTGCTTTCTGCTTTGATGCAACAGGATCGGGTAAACTGTAATTATGTTGAGACTCCATGTGACTTCGAAAATTAGACTTCCTTGCCAAGATATTTCCACAATCTGGGCAGTGGTAGTGGCCATGACCATCCTTTTTTGTTTGGCTTTTCTTTCCAAAATCTTTGTTTGTTGGATATTCTTTGGACATTGTTTGTTTACATGTTGGTAAATGACACGTCAGCACCACACAGTCTGTAAAAAAGTTTGCATGTACCAGTATGTCATTATACTACTACTAGTAACAAGCCATGGCACAGTCACTGTTAGTTATCAAATTTAAGATATATAGTTTTGTTTCTAATAATATGGTTGGAACATAAACATGTCAGAGATATGGATCAATAAGCTGATGCTTCATTATGATGGTTTTTTAACATTAAACGAGTACTTGTACATATTTAGAGATAATGTTCTGGAAAAGCAATATATTTAAACAAGCAGCCTGTCGGCTGAGATAGCTCCGCTGTTAGCAATGCACATGGCAATTAAAGAACAGAAGATATCATTAGAAAATGAACAAATCTGAGAGAGGTCCACATGTAGTACCTATATGTATAATATATCAAAGCAATTGGACTTGCGGTTTTTAACAAGAAGTTGAAAATATCACTTTTTACCAAATATTACAAAAATATTCACCAAAATTAGAGAATTGAAGATATCATTATGAAATGAACAAATCTGAGAGAGGTCCACATGTAGTACCTATATATGTAATATCAAAGCAATTGGACTTGCGGTTTTTAACAAGAAGTTGAAAATATCACTTTTTACCAAAAATGACAAAAATATTCACCAAAATTAGAGAATTGAAGATATCATCATGAAACGAACAAATCTGAGAGAGGTCTACCCAAGGTACATATACACCAAGTATCAAAGCATTCAGGCTTGTAGTTTTCAAGAAGAAGTCGAAAAAGTAAAACATTGACACGGACGACGACGGCGGACGACGACGGCGGACAATCACTCATATGATAAGCTCCGCTCGACAAAGTCGACAGCGGAGCTAAAAAAATAGCCACCAGTCAGCCATTTTCAATACATCTATATATCTATAACATGATGTATAATTAATATAGAAAATTTGAACATAATCAGTCAAAGCATGGAAGAGATATGGCTCTAAAACTGCATTCATTAAAACAAAATGGCTGCCAGTCAGCCATTTTAAATCCGATCTGAAAAACAAAATGACAGGCATCAAGGTCCCACAATGACCAATGTATGTACCAAGTTTGAACAAAATCCATCTGTAAACAGCTGAGAAATGCTTGATTTCAATGATTTTTCAGCACAAAAATGGCCGCCATTCGGCCATCTTGAACAAAGTCATGAAATAAATTGACATGCATATGTATAATAGTACAGTGACTCCTCTCTAAATCCAAAATGTCGGGATTCAAGAAAAAACATTGACTTATCGGGGGTTGCAACTTACCAAGGGGATTCGTGAAAGGGAAGGTTCAAGCATTGAAAATTGATAAAAAGCATATAAACAAACATGGGTTTATTTACAGTACATTTGCTTTATTGAAAAACATCACAGCGTCACAGCTTTATCGATGTCATCATTGTCAAATAATTTTGTACATTTTCTGTTTAGTCCGCCTTTCAGTCAACTTCGAAAATGATTTTTCTCAGCTTTTCTTCACCACCCGTGAATACTGGACTCACCGACTACTAGATCACGTGCAACCCTTGACTTGGTTTCACATATCTTGACACAGTCGATCACTGCAAGTTTTTTTATGTAAGAACAGATTGGATAGCTTTCGCTTAGACATGCTGCTCAGTTGAGAACTAGAGATCAGAGTGATGGATTCAACTCTTCTAGTGAGTTTTATAGAGCTGTATCAAAGGAGAACAGCCAAGAAGTACCAAAAGTCGCTGTCACCCTTTTTATCCAGGTATTAGATGCACAGTAGGTGTCTCCTCCACACAATAGAATTTTTGGGAGTCATCCAACTACCCGTGACTCAGCCAAAATCGCGACTTATTGAGGCACGACTTACTGAGGGGTCACTGTTTGTATGCTGTATGTGTAAAGTTTGAATGTAATCAGAGGTAAAACCATAAATCCCTGTTATTGAACTGCGAAGGAATGGGAACTAATAAAAACATTTTTCCGAACTGGGACTAATTATTTGGTGAAACTATTTTTGTTGAGTATTAATACATCATCTCACAATATCCATGTAAACAGTTTATTGAATTTTGCATGCATAGCAAACACGGTACAATGTGCCTAAAAACTTAGGATTGATGCAGTGAGGGTACCTGTCATACTAAGGTGCCTCTTTCCAAAGCAATACCTATCTGAACCAAATTATAGGGGCCTAAATACCATTTTATATATACCAACCTGGATTCAGCCTTACTCCTGAGCCATATTCACCATGGGAGTCTAAATGACTTTTGACCTTAGATGTAAATGTAGGTTTAAATTTGTCTTCAGGACACAAAGGGCATTCAAGGTGGCTGGATTTTCCCAAACAATATTTAGCTTTCTCCAGCGATGTGACAATTGAATGGTGAGGCTTTTTACACTGCAATAAAGAAAATTATACAAATTATTTTTTTCATGAGTCCCATGCGACAAATGTAAAATTCGCTATGTTGTGTTTGATATGGGTTCAACGTTCATCCAAGCAAATTTGTTATTTGCTTATGAACTTTTCATGCATAACTAAAAAACAAGTTAACCACACATTTCTTTCTTTTTGAGTATGCCACTGTGGAAAAACATTAATCAGTGTCTATTCGCACACAGTGTATGAATAAACAAAATGACCAACATTGTACCTGGTCTTACAAACTTACTGTCTGGGACCAAAATACTAGCATATTTACTGAAATTTATTTTGCCCTGCACTGTTATCTACCATTTTTCGCTTTAAAAGTAGTCAGAAAGACCTTGGTTAATGTTTTTTGAGGTTGTAACTTTACCCAAATGAGGAGGTATATAAATGTACCAAAATGAGCCAAGTACGGGACGTACTTTTCAGAAAATAGCAAGTACGGGTGATATTTGTAGCGAGTATGGGTGACATTTGTAGCGAGTACAGGTGATATTTGTAGGGAGTATGGGTAGTATTTGTAGCGAGTACATGGAGGTAATTTAGCGAGTACGAGTGATAAAATGTAGCGAGTACGGGGTGAGGGTACCTAGGGATCCACAATGTTGCGTAACTCTCGTCAGCCGCACCCCAAACTTTCATAAACCAAACAGCCACCACATATTTCAGAAAAATTTTAAATTAAGGCATAATTTTTCGAACATTTCAATGATTCCTGACGATTAGATTAGAGTATAATTTAGGTTTTCCGTAGTCATTGACGCTTATTCCAGAGTACAGGTTTATTGTGGGTAGCGTGAATGGGTAAACTGCATTTCGGCAATGAGCTGTTATTATCGTCAAAAGTGTTAAATTCTTCTTCAATGCTCAGCTTATCTTTCAAAAACAACTAATTTCTTGATTTAAAAAAAAATCATGCCGTTTTCCCATCAAAATCAAAGCCAAACAATCGCACTACAACAACGGTAAATCTCTTTCGTGTTTCGTTTACCATGAAGTCGCTGAACTACATTAACATATTTAAATGAGCTATGGTAATTTAATCACGTTGGCACCATCCAGCGACTTGACCTATCAGGTCAAAAAAACCAGTTTCAAGTCACTAAAGATGTTTGAACAAACATGGTGGATATTGTATCGGATCGAGCGTTTATATGTGACCGAAATCATTCGCTTGCGGTGAAACTAAGTTTATTTTTCACAACAATTCAACGAATTTATTTTTTGTACGTTATTGTAATCACTACCGAGTAATAATCAGCAGTTGTAACACTTCGAAAACAAGTAAGTTATTCACTTGTGTGAAACGCAGCATGACCGTTACCGTGATCATTTGCTACTAAGAATGCATTCGTTTTTGTTTTTACTTCTTTTAGAATATACTTTTCGTTATCAAAAAAAAAATAAGAAAATAAAAATATATTACATAAAATAATATACTGAGCATTTTTTTTGTTATCATGCAAACATTTTTTTTTTGATTGACTTTTTTTATTTTAATTCCCCCGATGTCTAAATTAAACATGGAATGTACAGTCACTCTGCCGGAAGTCGAACATGCCAGTAGTCGAACGCAATCGACTGTGTCAAACGACTGTCTTTCAGTTGTGACCTACCGGTGCTAACGAATTAGTCTATTCAAGAGATTGTAGTATATAGTACCGTAATCTGCAAATGCGTACAAATCTATTTGTAGATATTATTTATTGTGCAGTATGTTATACATTGTGAAATTTCGTTTGTGTACAAGTTTGTCTGTGTGTAAAATACTGAAAGTACGCTTAGAATCGCAACAAAGTTGCAATCGAGTGACGTGCATCTCATTAGCATATCATTATCCCTTCTGCCTTCGTTTTTTGAAAAAATTTACCACTGTTGCCGAAGTGAATGCTCCAATTAATAAAGCCGCACCAAGACTTCACGCATCTGAATTCGCCCATTGAAAAAATGAATTTTAATTAAAGCCGCGGCCTCAAATAGGAATTTTACGGTAGTTTCATTTCGTATCACTGATATTTTCTTTCTCAATGGAGTGTTTTGCTGCACCAGTAATTGTTGTATAAACCCCATATATTTTAATCCGCAATACCCCCATCCCGTACTCGCCATATTTTTACCCCCCATACTCGCTACATTTTATCACTCTTACTCGCTAAATTACCTTCATGTACTTGCTATGTACAAATACCACCCATACTCTCTACAAATAGCACCCGTATTCGCTACAAATAACACCTGTACTTGCTATTTTCTGAAAAGTATGTCCCGTACTTTTCACTTGTAATTGGCTCATTTTGGTACATTTATATATATGAAATCAAAGATAGATGGACTGTGGGTAAATGTGAACACGCACCATATCTACCAGGCAGAGATAGATGGACTATGGGTAAATGTGAACACGCACCATATCTACCAGGCAGAGATAGATGACTGTGGGTAAATGTGAACACGCACCATATCTACCAGGCAGAGATAGATGGACTGTGGGTAAATGTGAACACGCACCATATCTACCAGGCAGAGATAGATGGACTGTGGGTAAATGTGAACACGCACCATATCTACCAGGCAGAGATAGATGGACTGTGGGTAAATGTGAACACGCACCATATCTACCAGGCAGAGATAGATGGACTGTGGGTAAATGTGAACACGCACCATATCTACCAGGCAGAGCCTAACCATTTGATGTAGGGTTTAATGGATTTTAACAAAGTTGGTTTAATTTAAAAACTGTAGATACAATGCCAAAAACCATAAAACTGGAGGAACGTGCACTGCTCATTATTGCATGACAAAATGGCACAGCTTGGAAGTTGGCCTATATAAGCTCAACTACATTTTGTAATATGCCTGGCCACATGGCAACTAATATCGTAAATAGTTGGACATAAAACATGAGATACACAACTTGATATTTAGACTAAAATAATATTGAAAGGCACCTTATACATGTAACTCTTTGATTTCTCCATAGTGCTAAGGTACTCCATCGTGTTTCCAGTAGTTAATACAATGTATACAACTTTCAACTATAATATTTTACAATCTCAGTGTATGCTGAAAAAAATATAAAAAAAGAAAATAATGAAAATAATTGTTTTTGCATTATCAAACTTATTGTTTTCGTAACTACCCGGTACTTACCAGACTGGCACAGTCGTTGCAATGTTATGGTTTCATATGACCTTTCTATTAGAACGTGTTTTATGGTCTCATGCCACTAATTAACCAATGGCTGCTCAATTTAAATGCCTTGAAAGAACCAATGAAATTTTTTAAATATTTTTTTTCTCAGGTGCTCCCTGTTTGAGGGCGTAATCACATGGGTCAAAGGTGAGACCAACATGTGGTCTTTTGTTTACTACTTAGCGGCTGTGTACCTGTGGGTTTATTCTCTGTGGATTTGGATGTTCTCATCTTGGTGTTTTTCTAGTGATTTCTCTATATGCAATCTAAATACAGTAGGTGTGTCTTGTTTACCTGAGATTTGTAATAGTTTGAGCTGGCCAACATGTTAGTATTTTTCAAGTGGCAAGTTCGCAAAAAAATACATGTATCTCCAATATTTAATACAAATAAGAATGTGAGACAGGGATGTACTATAAGTCCAATGCTTTTTAATCTTTATGTTAATGACTTGAATGACACATTAAAAGATTCAGTAAACCAGGTAACATTAAATAATTATAAAATTAACTATCTCTTTTATGCAGATGACCTAGTATTGATTTCAACAAGACAATTAGGTTTGCAAAATGCATTAAATAAACTATCTGAATACTGCCACAAATGGAAACTCCAGGTAAATCTTAATAAT